GATTTATTTTATTTTTTGCAACAGAGTCTCGCTCTGTCACCCAGGCCAGAGTGCAGTGGTGCGGTATCAGCTCATTGCAACCTTTGCCTTCTGGTTTCAAGCAATTCTCCTGCCTCAGCCTCCCAAATAGCTGGGATCACAGGTATACACCACCACGCTAATTTTTGTATTTTTCAAAGAGCAGCTAATTTTTGTGTTTTAGTTAACAGATTAAGCGGCTAATTTTTGTATTTTTAATAGAGAAAGGGTTTCACCATATTATCTAACTCCTGGCCTCAAGTGATGCACTCACCTCAGCCTCCCAAAATACTGAGATTACAGGCATGAGCTACTGCGCCCAGCCAAAACCTACTGATTTAAATGGTAATCAGATCTAAAAAAACACTTTCACAGCAACATCTACATTAGTGTTTGACCAAGCAACTGGGTATGATAACCTAGCTAAGTTGACTCATAAAACTAACCATTGCAGTCCACCACTTGTTAATTTGGCAGACATAAACATCTCCTTAAACTATACTTAATGTTAAAACAAGGTCATACCTCCACCTAACGTGAGGCAACTGTCCTGTGTATGCCTGAAATTACACAAACTCTCTTCCCAAAACTGATTGCAAAATCCTTGAGGCATGTTCCTTGACATCCTATAACCTAAATAGTATGATATAAAGTTAGCAATACTTAAATATTGTGATGTAAGGTTAATACGTCCCCTGTTATATGACAATGGGATAAGAGACGGAAGAAAACAAAAATATTTGCCGCACATGTGCACACACACACACACACACACAGTTATAACAACATAATGAAGAAATACCCATAACAATGACATTCCTCATTTCCATACCTGTAACTGGTCACATGGTCATAGCTGCTATTTATAGCTTCCTTCTTTTACAACCTAAAAGAGGTGTAAACCGCTTGTTTCAGCAAACACCTCAATCAATGGTGGCTCTTTACTTGGTGGGGTGACCTAAACCTTCATTCTGGAAGGGTCTGGGCCATGCATTCCTGTCCCAGTTGGGATGTTTCCACTGGCTTCAATCACAGGACATGGTAATAATAAGAGACACCCTAAGGGATCTCTTGTATTCCAGACATCCTCCTCCTTACCTCCATTGCAGAGATTATGATTACAAAGAAGTAACCACAATCACCCTAGCCAGAATAGTGACTCCTTTCTTTGCCTGTTGTTGTTGTTGTTGTTGTTGTTGTTTCTTTTCTTCCCTCCCTTCCTTCCTTCCTTTCTTTCTTTCTTTCTTTCTTTCTTTCTCTCTCTCTCTCTCTCTCTTTCTTTCTTTTCTTTCTTTCTTTCTTTCTCTCTCTCTCTCTCTCTCTTTCTTTCTT